CCATCCTCCTCTCCTCTCTCCATCCTCCTCTCCTCTCTCCATCCTCCTCTCCTCCCTCCATCCTCCTCTCCTCCCTCCATCCTCCTCTCCTCCCTCCATCCTCCTCTCCTCCCTCCATCCTCCTCTCCTCCCTCCATCCTCCTCTCCTCCCTCCATCCTCCTCTCCTCTCTCCATCCTCCTCTCCTCCCTCCATCCTCCTCTCCTCCCTCCATCCTCCTCTCCTCTCCATCCTCCTCTCCTCCCTCCATCCTCCTCTCCTCTCTCCATCCTCCTCTCCTCTCCATCCTCCTCTCCTCTCTCCATCCTCCTCTCCTCTCTCCATCCTCCTCTCCTCTCTCCATCCTCCTCTCCTCTCTCCATCCTCCTCTCCTCCCTCCATCCTCCTCTCCTCTGTTGTTCCTGGTCCTGCTGTGAGCCTTGTGTCTGCAGGTATTTTGGAGAACAAATCAGGACCGTGTTCGAACAGGAGGACTTCAGTCTTTACAGGTAACTCTGACACGTTGTAGCTGAAAATGAGACACGTTTATCTGCACTGAGTAATTTTACAATGTGACCAAACTATCAGCTGCCTCCTAAAAGGCAACATGGCAGTGGAACGGTCAGAGTAAAAGGGAAAAATCAAAATGTGTATTTTGCATTCATACAGTGTTTTAATTACAATTCTGATTGAAATCATTCTCTGCTGTAATGGAAACAATATTAAAAAGTACAACTTTCCACCTGCTGAACTGGGCTGTGAAGCAGAGCCAAGAATAATAATTATTGTATTTAAGGCATGTGGCTGTTGCTATGTGACATCATTGTGGATAAACAGTCTGGCATGTCTGTCTCTGATAGACATGAAAGTCGTACAGTTAAGGCTGAGTTATACTCGCTGTTTGGTCCGCCGGTTTGAGCGTGTGGAGTGTGTGCACGTTAAGCCGAGCGGCTTCTGTGTTTATGGTTGATACCATGTGACAAAGTGCTGTTCTTTTACAGACCAGCAGGTGGCAGTACGCTTTAAAACCTGGGCATAGGTTGTAAGAAACAGCTGTAGAAGAAGAAATGTATGATGTCACAACTTTATTTTGTTTCTATTTTATTCATTCATGTTTTTATT